CATTGACACAGCACTAGAAGAACTGGGGTCCTGGATTCAGTTCTCATCAAGGACAACATCTGCTAGGAGTTTATATTTGGTGTCCTCTGACTAAGCTTGCCCTAGCAAGTGTGTATCTGTAAAGCTGTGCTATGTGTGTGTATATGTATGTGTGTGTATGTGTATATATATATATATGTGTGTGTGTGTGTGTGTGTATATAGTATTGTTGCTTATGGTTACCCTTGGCTTATTCCCATGATTCTGTATCCATAAAGGGGAAAAAAAAAAATGATGTGCATCTTACAAGTGTCATCTATTGGAAACGTTTGTTTATTTTAGGTACTTGTATTGAGATGGCATTTTACTCAGTGCTTTATGTATTGTATGTTCACATCTGTCCCTGCCCTCAAGGAGCTTGCAATCTAAGGTTCCTATCTCGCATTCATTTATACACATACTAGGGCCAGTTTAGACCAGAACCCATTAACCTACCAGCATGTCTTTTGCATGTGAGAGGAAACTGATGTACCTAGAAACATGCACACTCCATGCAGTTTGTATCCTGGTTGGGATTCAAACCAAGGACCCCAGTACTGCAAGAAATGCTAACCACTAATGTGTAAGTTCATCAAATTTCAGAGGAGGTCTGGAAGGTCGCGTACTGCTGGTCACAAAGAGAGATTGATGGATGGATGGAGCTTGCTATGTGCAGAGTGTGCCTATAGTAAAATGGAGTTCAAGCACCTTCAGCCTGTAGAAACATTTGGATTCGCAATGCTACTCAAAACAAATTTGCTCATGTATATAAGCTTTTGAGAAATCCAGGTGGCTGTACAGACGTCAGTACATTGGCAAGGTTTCAGACTGGCATACACACCCTGCTTCTGACTCCCTCATTTATTTGATGTATATGTATGTGTGCATATTATAAATATATATATATATATATATATATATATATATATAGATCGATCAAATCATATTAAAACACTGATCAGATGACATTATGACCACTGCCTAGTAAAGTGAAAAACATTAATTATCTTGATGCAATGCCATCGGAAAGTGGGCGGAATATATTAGGCCCAAGTGAATATGTTCCTGAAGTTGATGTGTTTAACCCCTTGCTTACAGGGCACTTATACCCCCTTCCTGCCCAGGCCAATTTGCAGCTTTCAGCCCAGTCGCAATTTGAATGACAATTGCACGGTCATGCAACACTGTACCCATATGAAATTTTTATCATTTTTTTTCACACAAATAGAGCTTTCTTTTGGTGGTATTTAATCGCCACTGGGTGTTTTATTTTTTGCGCTATAAACAAAAAAAAAACAAAAAATTTGAAAAAAAAAAAGTTTTTCTTTGTTTCTATTATAAAATTTTGCAAACAGGTAATTTTTCTCCTTCACTGATGTGCGTTGATGTGGCTGCACTGATAGGCACTGATGAGGTGGCATGGATAGGCAGCACTGATAGGCGGCACTGCAGGGCACAGGTGGGCGGTACCGATAATCCGTGTTGATCACTTCTCTGACAATTGCCTGTTATCAGCAGTACTTTTCTCATGCTGTGACAGTGTGAGGAAAGTGCAGCCGATAATCAGCAACTGCATTTACGCGGTGATCTGCTCTGTCATTGGACACAGCTGATCATGTGGTAGAAGGGCTCTATGATTGGCCATTTACCGTATCACGTGATCAGCTGTGTCCGTAGGACACAGAGATCACCAGTGGCGCCAGGTGCGCGCCACTGGGGGTGTGCGCAGGGGGCGTGTTTTTGAAATTATATCCATGGATGTCTTCCCAGAACTAGAAAACTGTGCTGTAGCCGTATTTCACTATAGCGTGGTAGGGAAGAGGTTTAAGCAGAAAAAATAGGCAAGTGTAAGGATTTGAGCAAATTTGACAAGGGACAAATTGGAATGACTAGACAATTGGGTTAAAGCAACTCCAAAACTGCAGCTCTTTTGGTATGTTCCTGGTCTGCAGTGGTAAGGGCTAAGCAAAAGTGGTCCAGGGAAGGAAAAACTGGTGAGCCTGAGACAGGGTCATAGGTGGCCAGGGCTCATTGATGCAGATGGGAACCGAAGGCTGGCCTGTGTAGTCCTACCCAAGACTGCTGAAAAATGTAATGCTGGTTCTGATAGAAAGTTGTCAGAACACACAGTGCATCGCAGTTTGTGGTGTATGGGGATGTGTAGCCTCAGACTACTTAGGGTGCCCACACAGACCTGTATCCACAGCCAAAAGCACTAACAATGGGCATGTGAACTTCAGAACTGGACCATGGAGCCAATGGAAGACGGTGGCCTGGTCTGAAGAATTATGTTTTCTTTTACGTTGTGTAGATGGCTGGGCACGTGTGTGTTGCTTACCCAGGGAGGAGATGGCACCAGGATGAAGTATGGGAAGAATGCAAGCCAGGGGAGGCAGAGCGTGATGCTTAGTCTAGTGGAGTCCATGCCTTAATGCCTCCATTGGTCAATGTCAATAAAAAAACACATCACAAATTTACCAAAAAATGCACCCAGGTTTGTTTATAAGTGAATTTTTAGGGTAACGTGCAAAAATATGCAGCATCTTCTCTTTCAATATAGAGCAGTACATCTATGAATTTCTGATTACATCATTGAAATGCAGCTCCCTAACACCACCAGCACTCATGCAGCCCCACAGAAGAACACTGCCGCCACCACATTTCACTCTAGGCACCATGCATTTTTCTTTGTACTCCTCACCTTAGCAACACCATACAGTTTCAGGAACATTTATCTTGGTCTCATCACGCCAAAGTACAGAGTCCCTACCAGTAGTCTCCTTTTTCAGCATGGGCCCTGGAAAATTCTAGGCAGGCTTTTTTGTGTATGGGCTTTAGGAGAGGCTTCCTTCGTGGACAACACCCATGCATGTCATTCCTCTGCAGTGTACACCGTATTGTATCTTGGGAAACAATCACCCCAGTTTGGCTTTCTACTTCTTTTTAGATAACTGCAGTGAACTTGCATGCCAACTTTCTTCAACCCATCTAATCAGATGACGCTTCTGTCAACAGCCTGGACATCTCTGTGAGATGGTTGCAGTTCCATCTTTGTTAAATTTTTGTATCACTTTTTCTACAGTATTCTGACTGATAAGTAAAGCTTTGCTGATCTTCTTGTAGCTTTCACCTTTCTTGTGTAAAGAAAATATTTTTTTTCTCAGACCTTGTGACATTTCTCTTCCATGTGGTGCCATTGCTGACAGCATGAAATGGGAAGGGGTTTTCTTTAAGCAACGCCCTTTTATAATCAACTGTCTGCTGGACACCTGTTTAATTGACTAATTAGACTCACCTGTAGTTGAATTTTTGCTAATTAGATTTTGTTGCGTAAAATTTAGCTTTGCTCCTAAGACTTTTCATTGGGGTGTATTCATTTTTGCAACATGGTCTTGAATAAATTTGTTAGGAAAAATACTTTGTGTGTGCAAATTAACAAATCTTGTTTGCAATCAATGGCCCTCATTTGTGGTCGTATTTTGTAGTATTGTGTGTCCATAGAACATGTTGATTTTGAAAGGAAAGTATAAAGGTTTTTTTGACAAATCTGTTGGGGTGTACTCATTTCTGCTGAGCACTGTATATGTGTTTTAGTAATTCATTCTGCCATTCCATAAATCTGCATTAAACTCAAATATACAAATGGTTGGGCTCATGCCCACATCTATACATATTCTGAAATATTTGCCATAGCATTTTTATGCTGTAACGCTAAACGCAGACCCTTGTTTAGATTGCCGTCCATTTTGGGCTAGGTATGGTTTAGTCCTCATGCACATTGGACGTTTTGTACAGCTGCTGTTTTTTGGCTTTTGGCGGTTTATTTCTACAACCAATAACCGCATGTTATCCTGTGTGTCCATCCACACAAACACTGTAATCAGCGTTTTTTGGCTGGCAAAAAACCCAGAACTGGTGGGTTTCTAGAGTTTTGTAGCTGTAAAAACAGTCTAACGCAGTAAAGCCAATACATTGCTAAACGCTAATGCACAAACGTTGAAAAACTCACGTTTTTAACGTGACTTTAGACCGCTAACATTACCAGCTTTATTAAAACGCCCAGTGTGCATGGAGCCTTATAGTCTGAAGTCTTCCTTAATTAAATTGTGGTAAGAAGTAAACCATGTTTAGTTTACATCTATAAATTATTTTAATTACTGTTTATTCATTTATATATCCTGTTATAATGACGGTTTCATTGCCCTTCAGTGTTAATGGACAGTTTTTAGATATTTTATGATACATCTAGTAGTTTTCAGTGTAATCTCACTTTAAGCAGATGTTTTGATTACGAAAGTGGTTCACTGACTGTTCCTCACATTCTGATTGGCTCCTGAAGCCTTACTACTGAACGTTCCACATTATAAGTCCATTAGGACCAAGCAAGGCTGGACACACTTAGCCCATCACACTCATATCTTGTATCCTTCACTTGCTGCCTATCCTCTTTGATTGCAAAGCAGTTTTTGCCTTGCCTTTGGTCTGAGTGCCATTTTTTTTTCTTTGTGCCTTTTATCCGAAGCTTTGACTTGCCTATTACATTGAGGAGATGTTTAGCATCTACTTTCCAGACAGATATGTTGACCTTTTCATAAGACAAGTCACATCGCTGTGCTGCCACTGCTCAAGGCTCTTTGAGAAAGTGAACGTACAACCAGCGAAGCTGTACGGTGGACTCATAATCTTTTGCTTATCTACTGCACAAGGCTTTTTCTGTAAATTCAAAGGAATTAAATGAGTATTCTATTTTTGTTTCAAAGTCACCAATCATATGCCACTTTTCAGTGGTCTGGCAGGTTATGAGTTAACAAAGCCATCTAATTTTGTTGCTTGGACTGGCATGTTGTGTCTTCATCCTGCGTTGCTGTTCGAGTCTCAGTTGGCAAGAGCAGCAAAACTGCTAATGAAAGTTTTTTTTTTTTCTAGGAGTAACAGACTATTAGCAAATTTCAGAAAGTAAAATCTATTGCTATTGTTGTTTTACCAGGCATATTCAGGACCCAGCGAGCCAGCTACTAACGTGGAACAAACCACCCAAAAGTGTGCTGGTGATCAAGAAAGTCAGAGATGCAAGTTTACTGCAGCCCTTCAAGGAGCTTTGCGTGTTCCTTACAGAGGTGAGTGAGATTTTCCCTCTGGATTAGGAGTGGGATAGCCATTTACATGAGTACTTTTCAAATATTTTTTGAATTTACATGTAATAGAGATGAACCTGATCTAAATAATATTATAAATGTGTGTCAATGATCCAAAATAATATAGGAAAGATCTTTAGCAACCCCCCCTCCAACCAAGGATTGCCTAGTTGTAGAATACTCTCAGCAGGTGTAGAATTTCAGTAATACAAGAATAACAGCATTTTTATGGCATTATATTGTGTTCATAGTGTTTTATAGGTATATTGTTACCACTAGAGGGGAGAAAGTGAATACCTATTGATCGATGTTTGATTAGTCGGCTTTTCTATCATCCAAGTGTGTTAATGGTAGTTTCTGTATTTAGTTTAGAACTGCACGTGCTTACTGCTCCTTCTTAATATGCAAGTCTTTGACACGCCAAAAATAATACATCTGTCTATATCTCAACAGTTCATTGGAAGTGAGCGCTTTGATCTACTCTCTTTAATAGCTAATCTGCATATCTCTACATTTAATATAATGGCAAAAATATGGAATAGGAAAACATGTAAAAAGTGAAAGTCACATCAGCAGTAACCATCTACTACTACGGTGGCTGTGGACATTGAAATATTTACAAATTCTTAACCTGCAGTAAATGAGCTTTAAAGCCAAAAACCCTTTTGTCGCACTGGAACACATCTTTCCAGCAGGACAAAAGCTCATCGAATTATATGGCTTCAGATCATATGAGACGTTTCACACTGCTGTGCTGTGTTTGTGTTGCATTTTGAAAATTCACACATGCTGCATTTTTGGCACTTTTTTAAAAAGCGCACCAAAGATGCTGCTTCCATTGATGTCAATAAAAAAACGCACCACAAATTTATCAAAAAATGCACCCAGGTTTGTTTATAAGTGAATTTTTAGGGTAACGTGCAAAAATATGCTGGTTGTTGAGGAGCAGGCACCCACCAGCATCCTTAACAGTAAATGCTGGCTTCCTTAATAGCCAGCGGGTATATAAACAATGCCCCCTTCCTCAGTCCTCCATGCTGTGTAGAATGTCAGTCCAGTCTTCCCAACGCCTCCTTTCCTTAGATTCTGGGAACCGATGCTCGCTGTCTCTCTCCACCTCCTCCCCCCTCCGATGGTAGCATTGCTTCTGCACAAGTGGGGCTGGAGCATGCTGACCACTGGGGGGAAGCATTATCACTCTTTGTTAAGGATGCTGGTGGGTTCTAGCTCCTTATCAACCACCTACCAGTGTCCTTAACAACCAGTGAATAGCTGGTTGTTAAGGAGCAGGCAGCGTCCTTAACAATAAGCTATTAACCGCTTATGCGCTGCATGCAATGCATTTCAAACATGCTATATGATTTTTTAAAACACATAGTGCATTTTACAAGTGCTGAAGTGTAAAAACTGATTTGCTGCAGTGTGAAATCAGCCCAAGTTTAGTTAAAACAAGCCATCCCTGACCTTCAAGGCAGGTGTCAGGACTCTGATCTCTCCTCTTTTCTGTGCACCTGTTCTGTATATACATTGGAGACCGGAAGGCTGCTGGGAGGGAGAGGTAGAGTGAACTGAGTTGCTGAGTTATTGGGCTTGTTAATTCCCTCAAGGCAAGTACTTTGGCTATAATATTTTAGGATGAATTCCACAGTAGATACAGAGGTTATTGAAGGATTGTTAAAGTGCATTTATTGTATGTAAATATTTAAATATCCATGGCCTGACCACAGTTGTTCAAGGTGAACGCTGCAGTAATAACTGCCTACTGAAATTACACTATACCTTCCCTTTTAAAAAAATAAATCTTTTAAACTAAACTTTGAGGCTTTTCGCACCTGAAAGCCGGGTTATGCAAACCCCTTTAATACAAAACTACTACTAGAGGCTACAAAAATCTCACGCAATACACTTTATGAAAGTCCGTGTTTGCATAGATGAGCAAAGTCCTCATCTTACCCCCATGTGACTGCACATGGGCCTGGCAGTAGATAGTTCAGGCAGTGCGGATTTTTGGACTGAAGAGGATTCATGCCTAATTTCTCCATACCCCAGAAGCCAGGATGTTTCAACGTTCCCTGGTTGCTCCCTAGTTTGTTTTATGCAGCCTCACAATTTCAGATTTTTTTTTTTTTTTTTTTTAGATGTTGGATTATACAGTGAATCTTTAGTCTTTCTTTTCATTAGCATATTGACATTTTAATGAACTGTAATACAGCCAAACCTTCCCTCTTTTCTTTTTTTTTTTTTTTAATGGGGAGGAGAGCAAAGTCCTGTTAGGTCTTTATTGCTGTCTGTGTGAGATTTGGTGAGATTTTACCCCCAATTTCCCATCTTTTTGAGGGGTCTAAGACAAATGAAAGCAAGGGGAAATCTGGGGACACCACAAATGTTATTTTTGTAGAAAACAGGAGGGTTAGAAAATAGGTTTTTACTGCCTGCGTCCCCTCTGGAAAGATTTCACCATTTTCTTCTGTTTGACACAGTCATCACAGATATTAGTACAAACCTGTATACAGTGCAGAAGTGAAAGAGTGCCAGACAGTTGAAAGTTAGTTAATTCCTCTAAAACAGGGGTCTTCAAACTTTATAAACAAAGGGCCAGTTTACTATCCTTCAGACTTTGAGGTGGGGGGGACAGATTGTGGCCAGGGGGGGTAGGAAATATCCTGTATTCAGTGGGATTAAACAATGCCACAGGCTTTGTGGTCTGTGGAAATATATAAATTACATAGCACCTGTGGTCAGCAGATATCATATTTGAGGAATAGTGCCCCATTGTTTGTGTCAGTGGCAGGAATTATGCTCCACTTTTGGTGTCGGTGGGAAGAATAGTGCCCCAAGGGCTGAATAAAGGCTAGCAAAGGCTTGCATTTACCCTGCGAGCTGCATTTTGGAGACCTCTGCTCTAAAATATCCATGAATAAGACAGCATGTTTCAGATGTTCTGAAGGACCCCCTTCATCAGGTGTTCGAACAGCCAGTGGCAGAGAATACTGGGACTATGAAGAATTTAGTGAAAAACTAG